CTGACAGACAGTTAGAACAAAACATCTTGAAAAGGTTTGAAACTGGCCTCGTGCATGTACTGTTCTAACATGCACTGTTCTACAAATTGAACAGATATCTTTGGGGGTCTCCCATAATCCTCCCACAATACTGTATCTTTAGAAGTCCACTACATTAGCATTAGCAGCATTGTGGACAAAACAAAAGAGGGAACACACAAATGTATGCCCTTTTATTCACTTATCCAGCCCTTCCCAAGGACCTGGGATAGGCAGCTGTTGTTGTTTGGTGGAGATGAAGGTATTTTTACAGGATGGAAGCTGTTCTGAATAAAGCTGCATTGTGCAATTGACTGGTGGAGATTTTGTCAATTGCACCCAAGGTGCCTATCACAATTGGTATTATCTTTGGGATTTTTTGCCAGTTTTTCTACTTTTATTTGCAAATCTCTGTATTTTGTTCCCCCCCCCCTCTCCCCAGTTCTTTCTCTTTTATTCTGCTGCCTCCCAGTATTACAAAGTCCACTATCCAGACTATTTTTTCTTATCAAGAGTTGTTAAGTCTGGCAGGTTGTGTGGACGGTGCATTGTCACACTAATATTCCAGATGTCAACTTCAAACCTGGCTGCAGCCATCTCCCTATTCTCAGTTACCACACAGGGGGGAAGCGGGGAGTGGTTGGAATGCATTATTAGACATAACAAAGAAGTTTCTCATGAGAGCCAAGGTCATCTCCAGTGGTAACAGATAAGATTGGGAAAGGAGTGCCGGAAGAGCCTGCCAATTACCTCAATTGTCCAACATGACCTGTGACATTTGGGGATGGGGTTATTTCCTAGTTTAATTATACTGAACCCATGGGAAAGATTTAGATTTGGTTTTCCATTGAAGCTGTGCCGATATGATGTACTCGTTAAAGAAGACCTTTGAGAAGGAGCCAGTCTCAGGATTCTGATTTGCTGGAGTTCGTTAGTCAGAGCCTTGGCATCAGATTTATTCAGGGGTGGGATTCAGCCAGTTCAGGCAAACCGGTAGCTCCGACGATCAGCTGGAAGTGAACTGGTTCGCTCTGATGATCAAGTGGGCCCACCCACCTGCCCCTGCACTTTACTTACCTATATCCTCTCAGCTGATTTGCGTGGCAGAGCAGATTGCCATGCTTCAGCTGTGTTACTCCCCAGAAGTAATGTGGAAGGTAAGTTTTGTTAAAACTGTGCATGTGCGTAGAGCGCCGTCAGGCGCAGGCACACACAGAGTTTGTGTGTATGCGCGCAAAACACGTGATCACCGAAACAGTTGTTAAACCATCAGGATCCCACCAATGGATTTATTGCTATTACTTTGGATCTCTTACATCTTACCTTACTTCAGTGGCTCCCAAACTTGGCAACTTTAAGCTCTGCTGGCTGGAGAATTCTGGGAGTTGAAGTCCACAAGTCTTAAAGTTGCCAAGTTTGGGAACCACTGCCTTACTTCAACTTTATTTCTTAATGAAATGTTAATGTAGTTTCATTTTACTTTCTTTATTAAGCTAGCTGAGTGACTAACCTAAATGTTATGGATAACTTAAATACTGGGTATGCTTTAGCTACTCGAGATAATTTGCAACAACAACAAAAAACTATTTATTTATTTGTTTGTTTGTTTGTCTTGTATGCCGCCCACTCCCGAAGGACTCCATACTCAAACATTCTGTGTTGTGAGTTTCATAGGGTATTTGAGAACAGATCATTGTAATGGATATTAGCCATTATTTATTAGGTGTATGCATCAATACTAGACTATTCTCTTTAATTCATTATGGTATATATTGGATGGGTTATTTGTGGACTGTGGACTTTGCTTTCACAGCAAAGAAGGGAAGAATTTTCTTTAGAAGCATTAGGAACTGCAGTAAACTGCATGTTTACTTTGTGTTGTAGTAGTTTTGACTTGTGATTGATCCTCTACTTGTGACCAAAATCATTTCCATCATCTCTGGCCAGTTCTATTGCCAATTAAGATTCTGTGTCCCAGGGTGCTGTATCAGACAGGGATTTATATTCTATGTGTGTAAAACAATAATGTTTTTTCTTTATATGGTAATGCTAAAATGTGCTTCAGGAGAACCATGGGAGGTCACAACATAAACCTTTGTTGTTTATGCATCCTATTATTTACTTGTTTATATTAATTAGCCACTGAACTACACTGGACTCATATGCTGAATAAATCCTCAGGAAATTGGAAGGAAGTTTCTGGGGAAATGAGCACATTCTTCACAATTTGCACACATGGAAGCAGGAAGGCTCCTGTCTAGACAGTCATATGATCTGTAAATATGAATGTGAAAGAACTGTATAAAATCAAGTTAAAAGTTAATTAAAGCTGAGCCAATGTATTTCAACTGCTTTTTCTATTCTTGCATAAATCAGACAAATGTAATTTGCCATTACAGGTATAAAATAGCAATGTGGAATTTTTGATGAAACCAAATCCATCAACCAATCTAGGAGTAGGGTTGAAATATACATTAACTGAGCACATGATGAAGTGAATTGCTCCTATATGTCCCTCTTTCTTCTCGTGCATCTCAAAGAAAAAGAAGACTACACCAGTAGAACCAAGTACATTAGAGGATTAGCTATATGAAAAACACATGCAGGTGTCCATTCACAACAGCAGTTAAAAGCAGTCACAGTGACATAATTTCTTTTCTTTCTAAGATTTGTTAGGTTTTAGTTTTGTAGATAGCAGCTGCAAGTTGGGTTTGTGGAATGCCCCTGCTCCCTCCTAGAAGAAGGAAATATTTTGAGGAATATTGAAAAGGCAAAATATTATATTTCTCCAAAGGGAGAAAAGGAGAAACATGTTTTTGGAGGAAGAAAGCAGCTCCCACTTTTTCTTAATAGCCCACAGCAGATGTCAGCACTTAAGAGATAAAAAGCTTATTGAAAGAAGGAGCCAACTATCAAGATGGATCTATTCATAGGCAAAGTAAATACTGCAAGCAGAAATCCATTAAAGGCAGGATATTTCGAAACTGCAGCAAAGTTTGACAACTAACAAAAGCAGGGTGATAGGATTAGAAGCAGCTCCTCACCCAAGATCCAACACAGGACAAAAGTCCTTAGCCACAATAGGAATTGCCCAACACCCTTTCAGAACATAGGGCGCTTCGTTGCATCTCCAGAGCAGTCCAAACTTCAAGTCACAGAAATCTTGGAACTGGTAAACAATATGCCAGAGGTTGACCAGATTAGCTCAGACAAACACCTAGGATTTGCATTTCCTCTTTTGCCTATAGAGCCAGCTATGACCCCATAGGAATCTGACAACAGCCAATAGAAGACTTGCACAGGAACAGGAAGTTCAAATGCAAAGTCCAAAGAAGTTATTTTTTTAAAAAAAAACAACCACTCTCAACTCCATTTTACCAGCTGCACCAGAACCATAAACCCTGGTGGCTCTGTTCATCATTAAACCAACTTTCCAATCAGCCTCCATGTTTCCACTGTCTTTCTCCCAGTTTGGAACTGAACCAGATGGATATTTCTTCCAACAGGATCATACGCCTCATTAGGATTAAATCATAATGTGGGTTATTCAGTTATGCTTTAGCATGTTATACAGGGGTGGGTTCTGGCCGGGTTTACTGCCAGTTCACTTGTGCGTGCTGAATGTGGGTTGCACGCACGTGTGCAGTTCAATTAAAATTGTTCTGCGCATGCACAGAACTTAAAAACAAGATGGTGGCACCGACTGTGCTGATGACGCCGACTGGAAAACCAGTTCGGGGGCGTGGCAGGCCTGGGTCACTGCCGGTTCCAGCGACCCACGCCACCCTACCACTAACGGTTCAACTGAACAGGCCAAATCAGTAGGAACCCATTTTCAATCAGCCAAGGTTAAAGAAAACCTCATAGCTTAGAATGGTCAAAGAGCCAGGTCATTTTGTTGACAGCCTGGCCATTCAAATTCATTTAATGCTAGAAATTTAGCTTCATTCCAGGACCATTTGTGTAGGAAGTACAAAACTGAGAGAGGATATTTGGAGAAAAATCTGGAAAGCTTTTTTCTCTAATGGGAAATATATAATAAAAGTCTCATTTTGTTATATTTTTTTAGAAACGTCAACTCATCTTTAGATTTTTATTAGAATCCCTCTACCTCTCCTGCATCATTCATTCACCATCCATTACACAATTTTGTTGGTTAATGGTGCTTACATCTTTTCATTTACATATGTTCTAGCCTATCAAGGACAGAAACAAAGTGTTTTGTTTACTCCTGGAATAAAATATAGCACGAGTACATGCAACAATTTATGTCAGTAAGGCTACATTTTTACAAGCAGTTCCTCACTGCCAAATAAATACATCTCTTTGATACAATATTGAGAATGGATGACAACTATTTTTTTCTTAGAATGGAGTAAATCTGAACATGCAGTTGCAGATAGTGGTATCTTTCCTTTGTCCCAGCTTCTGCCAGCCAAGCAGTTCGAAAGCGTATAACAATGCAAGTAGAAAAATGAACCACTTTGGTGGGAAGGTAACAGTGTTCCGTCCGCCTTTGATGTTTAGTCATGCCGGCCACATGACCACGGAGATGTCTTCGGACAGCGTGGCTCTTTGGCTTAGAAACGGAGAGGAGCACTGCCCCCTAGAGTTGGGAATGACGGGGAACCTTATTGCAAAAAGAAATGTAACTAATTTGAGAGGAAGATTTCAGTCTATACTTTATTTTTACTGCAAGTGACTATTCTTTTTAACCATATCAAAGGATGATGCTTTCAAAATGCAAGTCTGATCATTGATAATATCTGCAGAAGTTAAACACGATCTCTTTGTGTAGTATGCTATGTGCAGTATAATATGCTTTCTTTTTTTGTGTGTCAAATAGTAGTTTCATGGTCACACTGGATTTACCGTTTATAGAAGATGATTTACCAAAGATAACTGGCATTGTGGTTCTCAATAAAACAAACTAAACGAATGCATAATGGAGAAAAAAAATAAGCTAGACGTCTAACCAAATAGTAAATCTATCTGGAGTTTTATTTAACATGCCAATGTTTTACATTAGATTCTTTCCACATTCTTAAAAGTACAATCGAACAACTTCAAGTATGCATTTCATAAAAGAATGAGTGGCCCCAATACTATCAGTACTGTGGTCCATGATCAGACAGATAAAAACAAAAATCCACATCAGAAAATTGCTTGACAGAATTATTTGAAATCTCTGCTTGGAAGCAGCTGATCTCTATTCAGAGCCTGTTAAAAGAAGTAGAGACTGGCACTCTATTGCGGTGCGCAATAGTCTGGTTCTCATATATAACTGTGTAGTATTTGGTTGTTATAAAATTACAAAGGCTATATTTATGAACTAAAGCTCATCACTTGACTGCAAAACAAATACTGTTTGAAGAAGCCCATTATTTTGATAGATTGTGTTTCCCCAAAGTATATTCTCTCTCATTTTTTTCAAAAGTAAATATACATCTATTCCATGGGCGCAATCCCAACTTCTAATTCAGCGTGGCCAGAATTGTAGCTGTAGAATATGTATAGAAAAAAAGGGGGGGCGGAATACAGGTGACAAAAGTATTTTTATGGAGAGGCTCTCTGTAAGCACAATCACATGCTTTCATAAAAACAAATCAATGCGATTTAACAGATTACTTGTGGAATACGGAGAATAACGCATAATCATTCTGAAGTATTAAAAGTAGTGTTGCAATGTCTTTTGTGAGGCAGCTGTTTATGATTTGTGTTCTTTACTATTTCTTGCTTAAATAATAAATAGAAGAATAACTTCATTGTGCAGCAGAGGGGGGGGTGAGATCCTGTCTATTTCAGTTTTCTTAATCTTACAGTATAAATGACTGCCATCAAGACTGTGGCATAATGTCACAGATTTTAATAAACAGACATTCCTTGGCATTCGCCACTATTTTAAGATATCCATTTATCTGCTCTGAGGTTAGATTGATCTCACGGTTACTTTGGTGAAAATAGCAGCTTTTGTTTGATGTAGCATGTAATAGCCTAACAAATGCATTACTCTTACAGAAAAGGCTTTCTTTCTTCCAGTCCCATTGCAGAGAGTAGGCCCCTATGAGTATTTGTGTATGTATGTGTGTTGTATGTGTGTTTATATATAGATCTGTCTACACACACACACACACACACACACACACACACACACACACACACACACACACAGACACACTCACGTACACAGGTAGATTTATCTTCATTCTATAACATTGACTTGAAATGATTTTTTAAAAAAATTCCTAAAGGAAAGTTGTTTTTGAGCAGTAGCAAAATGTATTCATTCAATGTACAAAAGTATTTGCATCTGCATAAGATGTGGAATCCATGTCATAATAATCTTCCAATCTCCAATGCAACGTTTCAAAGGTTGGACGTTCTTTGGGTTCGACGTTCCAACACTGCAGCATAATGTTGTACAACTCTAGAGGACAATTAGCTGGTTGCGGCATTCTGTACCCTTGATCCAGTCTCTGGAGCACTTGAAAACCCATCAGACCTATGATGTAGTTTTAGAAGATTAGCAATTTATGCATAATAAACATGCTAACTTGAAATACATTGGGAAGACGAGGCATTCTCAAGGATGCATTATTTTGCACAAGACTCTCTGCTTTCTAGCATCTCTGCAAGTTAGTATCTTTAATGCAAGAAATAATTCTACCCATTTAAATTTAATTTTTAGTTTGGCAAATGGCTAAAAGCTCACACTGAGAGTTTGGGGCTTCCCAAAACAGGATCATATAATTGACTCGAGAGATATCACTGTCTTTGCTGAAATGATAGAAATCTCTCCCTGTTTATTGTAAGGATGCCAAGAAAATTATCCAGAAGCTCCTGAAGTGATCAGTTTGCCGAATGGTAGAACCAGCATTGCTTCTATGAACCAAATATTTCTGGACTCAGACAGAGCATGACACTAATGTTTTCCTCTTACTGTATTTTTCAGAGTATAAGATGCACCTTTTTCCCTCAAAAAAGAGGCTGAAAATCTGGATGCATTATAAACACTGAATACAGCATTTTTGGCCTACTGAAACCCCTCCCCCTTTTCAAAAATGGATGTGCAGAGGGTTTGGGAGGCTTGCAAGGTGCTCCTGAAGATTGGGGAGGACCATTTTTGCTAATTTTTGCCCCCCCCCAGCCCCCAAGACCCTCCCAAAGCTCTGCATGCCCCCTTTTTTTAAAACAAAACAATATAGTTCCAGTATCCTTACCTGACCTTTAAAGCCTTCAGCGCTTCCGCGCATGAGCATGGCACGTACAGCACCTGTGCGACGCTCCACCAAGCAACTGGAGCATCACGGAGGCTTAAGGAGGCATCGCTGGCAGGTACGATGCACTGCATGCACCACGCACGTGTGCGCATGCACTGCACACATCTATGTGGGTTACCTCTGGCCTGTTCCAACCGGTACGGTTGGAACGGGATCCAGAACCCACCACTGATTAACAACCATAGCAGAAGATATAAGGCAAGGCTTAGAACATGAATCATTTTAGGTGGTGGGATGACTCAACAACTGTCCCCACTAGTCAGGGGATTCCATAATGAAAATTGTGTTTATTTATATATCTATAGGGTATTTTGCTGATTAACAAAAAAGTAAATACAGTAAGTATAAAAATATATCAGATTCCAGATCTCACATGAGAAGAAAGGTATCCTGTAAAACCTGACTCAACTCAGTGGACCTATTTAGATGCTATCTCCTAGACATCTTATGGATCCTATTGTTCTCAGCAGGGTCTAGGGGAATTTTCTACAATTTAGTCAGCAGCTTTTGTTGGGTGCATAGATAATCTTTGGAATTCAGAGGCAACACAGGCATTTGCAGGATTGCTCTTGAGCCACCCTCCCCAGATGTCAATCAAAGGCTGTTCTTTGTAGAAGAAATGCTACAACAGATGATTTGAGTGACACTGTGCAAAACAAGGAGTGAATATTGTTATGTTTAAGTCAAGTTTGGAACCTACACCATAGCAATAAGACCAGTGAAGTTTTGCATGGGCAAGGGACAGAAAGAACATTGATTGTTATTAAAGATGACCTATTAAAGAAGGACCCCTCCTTCTTCTGTAATTCTCAGCAGATTCTGATACTAGCAAACATGCATCAGTCAGCCTCAAGATATAAATCAGATCAAGAAATGAACTCCACGTTAAGATGAAAACTATTTTATCTTAGATAACTAAAACCTGATAAATTCTCAAAAGTGTATAAAGTCGTTGAAATGTATGTTGGAAATGTAATCCTGAAGAAGGTGCTTTTTAATCATCTTTCGTGGACTTGTGATAAAACAAAGAAATATCGGGGCCAGAATCCATGTTACAATGCAGAAGATTGTTAAAATTGAAAACTGAAGCTTTTCTTTTAGGATTACTGGAAAAAGGATCTGGGGGTGGGGGGAATGGAGCTTTGTGGCTGTATATGCTGACTGCGGTAAGAATTCTTTGTGCAATAGAGTTTGAATCTCAGAAAAGGCAATTTAATCCAGATTGCAAAAGATCTTGGGGAGAAATGCATCAAAGAAACTCTACTTCAGTTACCTCATTATAACTGAGGCTGGGGAATTACTATTAGAGTTTTCAAGGTTCTTCATTTGCCCCAGGCCAGTGTTAAGATACCTTCCTGAAATATGTGTTGTTCTTCTGTAGTATTTCCTTTCTGGCTACATGGAATTTGACAAACTGGTGCAGAAGGCAGGTGCTAATTTGCTGACGGATGAAAGCTGATACAGTGTAGCTTCTAAATTGTAGATGCTACATTGGTCCCCATAGGTTTTCAGGTCCAATCTTAGGTGCTAGTTGCTAGTTCACCTGCTCCACTAAAATCTGCCCAAATATGCTCACTTAGAGCACATTCATTCACCTCTCTTGTTTCAGGTATCAAGGGGACACAAAGACTAGCCTTCTCAGTTGCAGCCCCATGCTCTTTAATAGCTCATACCTCTAGTTGAGGCCAGACTCTCACCTATTTATCTTTCAGCAAAGGTATAAAACATGATTTTTCTCAAAAAAGAAATTGGCAGAGGATGTCATATAAATGATAGCAGCAGTTTGGGGTAATAATAAACTATTTTAGCTGAAGATCTTGTTTACAGGTGTATGGTTTAATTATTTTAATGATGTAAGCTGCTTAGACACTTTGGAAAAGGCAGCAGATAAATAGATGTAAAATAAATCTGGCAAGATTTTAATTGTTTGAAATTAGTAGTGCTATTTAGTTTAGTAGATGGTACAACATTTATAATTGCTACATAGATTATCCAAGCGTTTCTATTCCATATGGAAAATTGTAAGGTTTTATTAAGCTTTCCTATCAGCTGAAGAAAAGTAACATCTCATTTAAAAAAAAAAAGTTGAAAGCATGATTTTCAAACAAAGCACTCACCTGCATAGGGCATTTTTCCATAAGTGATTATTTCAAAAAGGAGTATTCCAAAAGACCAGACATCAGATTTAATGCTAAACCTATTAGAGCGAATTGCTTCAGGAGCTGTCCATTTCACTGGGAGCTTTGTTTCGTGTTTGGCTTCATAGACATTTTCATTTTCTACCTATTTTATGCAAACAAGAAACAATGTGATAAATCTCCAGATCTATCCAATTCCACTATTGTGACATTCAAATCAACTTAAAAGCGCTTTTTTCCCAACATTTACATAATCCCAATAATCATTACACTGAAACCTGCTTGTTGAATGATAGCTGATGTTCCGTGACAACCTGAACCAACCAGGTAGAACTTTTGTTCCTTAATTCCTAGCCCTTGTTTTGTCAAGCATCCATGCAACATCAATTTGGCCATGATTAATTGGGGCTTACTACTGTGAGTTCTGAATCTATCAGTGACAGCAGTGCAAGCTACCTATTGGCAGTAGGGCACGGGATTCATGTGAAGCCTTTAGCAAGACGAGAAGCTGACAGCAAGAACTAATGCATTCAGAATCTTTGTCCTGTGATTAATTATAGGGCCCAACAAAACACTGACTTCTATCATCATCCCTTAAACAGTTCCAGGATTTGAAAAGCAGATTCCAAGAACTGCAAATTAATATATTTGTTCATAGTGGCACCAATTAATTTAGGTGAAGTGAGCTGACATACTGTGAAGAATAAATGGAACATTATTTACTTATATATTTGATTTTTTTTCCCCCTGAGATCATCCTGCTTCCTTTCTTACATGCATGCATATTGCTCTGAGTTTCAGAAGTAGTAATGCTATATATTCTTTTTTTTTTCTTATCAGGCAATATAGATCACTATGAAGATCTCCGTATTAAAGTGTACCTTTTAAAATTATGACTGCATTTGTACATCATGTTAAGGTACATAGGTTGATCCTGATTTGGTCTCTCTACTTTCTAGGGTACATAAACATTTCACAGAAACAAGTGTGGTGCAAATATTCAACTTAAAATTTTAATGTGAAGGCAGTTTGATAGAATCCTTCCTCTGAATCCAATATTATAATGAAATATAGTGACATCATCAGATCAATCTAATGGGTAAAACCAAATCAGACCTCTCCAAATTTTAATTCAAAAAAGAAGCAAACCTACTTTTATACAAATCAGCTTAAAAGTATGAATCCATTCAATTGAAAATCCAGATTCATTTTACTTAAAAATGAATCAATTTGGAAGACTAAATTGAATCAATTTTTATCCTTGGGAAACTCCTGTGATTTGTTTGCCATGATCAAAACTCTGATTCTCTCCCCCCCCCCAATTAAAATAAACATAATTGGAACCAGCTGTTCCAAATGTAACATGGAGACATTCACTTATAATAATAAGCTAAAGTTAAAAGTCATAAGTTAAAGTTGTTGATTCTTTGTAATCAAAATAAGACCAAAAAGATAAATAGGGGAGGGAGCAATTCCATCTTACGGTGTCCAAGGCAGCCTGGACAAATGTAAACATTATTTCGCTGAATATGTACCAGTATATCTTTATCTCTGAAAGGTCTCACTCAGATCGCATCATAAATGCTGCCAATGCTGCCGCTTGAACCTACAGTAATCCACCTACAGGTTTTCTGTAGTATATTGTCTTGATTTGCTGGTTCCAGACAGCACCTAATCCCAACAAGCCTGAAGCAAAAAGCCAATCTACGGAAATCAACTCACAACCTCATGCCCTTTCACAAGTCAGCATATCAGCAGGAGGTGCAGCAGATCAAGGAATGAGCAGTCAGTGCTCTAAAAGTGCACGCTAAACAATTCACAGAAGGAGTTTTTATTTAGCCATTGCTGCTGTCAGGAAAATCCAGCTAAGAGAAATTGAGCAAGGTAAAACACTACGTTTCATGGTAAATTAGAATTGTGTCTCACTGTGACTTCCAAACATAGCCTTTGTCTCTAGCTACAGCCAAACAGCTGGTTCCTATGCTAGAAACTCCACTACAATTATTATGGTTCTTTGTCCCCAAAATTAGTCAACCTGTATAGATGCTGCCTCTGCGTAAAGCAACTCCATTCTTAAATATCAAATTTGCAGATGCTGTATCATTTAGGGTGGTGTTTCTTAAAGTGTATCTGAGGACGATGGAAGGGAGGTTCCTCTAAGACAGTGATGGCTAACCCTTTTGGCACGCTGCACCCCCCGTGTATGCACGTACAACCCCAGTGTGTGCACCCCACCCTTACGCACATGTGTGACAGAGACCCCAAAATCAGATGGATGGCAGGAGGTGCATGCGCATGCACAGCAGAACTGAACTGGACCAACAGCTCAGATGCCCATAGAGAGGGCTCTGCGTGCCACCTGTGGCACAGGTGCCATAGGTTCGCCATCATGGCTCTAAGATTTTCTCATGTGTCCTTGAAATCAAAATTATTTGCCAGATGTGGAAAATATTTGCCAAAAGTTTGCCAAAAGTTAAAACAAAGTCATTTTTCTTGCTGCTATCTTTTCTTTCTTAAAAAAATTTTTTTTCAGGAAAAAAATATTTATATTAACATCTAATGAGTTTAATTTTATTATTTTTATAATGATTCTATAAATGGATCAATTTCAATTTTTAATATGGTAATTATTGATAAATATAACCATAAATATAAAAATATAAATATAACCCATAAAAGCTACTTTGGTGTTCTTCATAATATTTAAAAGTGAGAAGGGTTCAGGGAATCAAAAGTTTAATAAGGACCAATCTAGGGCATGAATTCTTAAATTATAGCAATAGCAGTTAAAGTTATATACAGCTTCAGAGTGCTTTACAGCCATCTCTAAGTGATTTACAGAGTTAGCATACTGCCCCAAACAAACTGGTTCCTCATTATATCACTCTCACCACCCTGAGTCCGGAAGCAGTTCCATAGGTAGAAGGAGTAGACATTTTGGTGAGGTACTGACCTTTAGTATTGTAAAGAGCCCAGACTGCTCCTGAGTGAAGGAGTAGAACATCTGCCAGTTTGAACTGAAGTAACGGAATGTGAAGCAACTGACAGTTAAAACAGAGTTCTTTTCAGGTGGGAAGGGGGACTAGAATATCTAACTCCTTAGCATCAGAGCGTGTTAATATAAGGCAACTGGCAGTTGGAACAGAGTTCATTTCAGGTGGGGAGGGGGAGTAGAACTCCTTAGCATCAGAGCGTGTTAATTATTGTATACTAATGATCTGATGGTCATTTCAAAAAATCCTTTCTTAGTGAGCACCTAGAAGTCAAGAGAAAAATATGTGCCAAATTTCAAGTTTGTAGACAACGGTTCTGGAGATTTCGTGATTAGTGAGTGGTATTTGCTTTTTATACAGTATATATACATTTATGTATATTATATATTGGCTTTTAAATGTAATATAGCTACAGCTAGCTAAGTATCCAAATATCTGAGACATCAAATTAAAAATTATACCTTAAAAACCCGTGCAAGTCCAAAATCTGCCACTTTGTAAACATTGTGATCACCAACCAGGACATTCCTTGCTGCCAAATCTCGGTGGATGAAATTTTGGGATTCCAGGTAGGCCATTCCAGAGGCCACTTGAGCTGCCATATCTACCTGCTCTGGCACATGGATTCTGGAACCTGCATCATCTGCAAGGAAGTAATATTTGGAGAAGGTTGGGAAAAATAAGTCTTCTTGACCTGACTTTCAACAAGCCCTCTCTACAGGTTGGGCCTTGGACGGACAGATTCTACTTGGAATAAGCAGCCTTGCAGATAAACAGGCCCCAAGCTGCAGTATGTAGGACCTGACTTGTATGTGGAAGCCAACTGGCAGCCAATTCTGCTCTTGCTGTATATGGCTATATTGAATGGTGCCAGTCAGCATGCTGACTATAGCATTACAAGCATAATTGCTTCTTCAGTGTGGAGATGAGGGTAAGAGTGACAATTACCAGGATGTTATGTTCTTGAATAGTAGACAATTGGCATAGTTAGACACAACTGCTCCAACAGGAATTTACCCTTTGTAGCTTTGTAGCCACTTTCTCAATATCTTCTCTAGAAAGGAAAAGGGAGTAACTGGACTGTAATTATGTAATAGAACTGGGTCTAATTCTCAAACTTGTTCAATTAATTTATTGGGAGGAGGGTATTTATCTTATTTAAAACACCTATATGGTTGTCCATCCTATTTCCTACTCTAGGCAGTTCCCAATCGACAATTAAAACGCTAATAAAACAAAATAATACATATATGTAGAAAAACCAAAAACATTAAAAACTGGCATCAGAGTTAAGGTTCCACATGCAATCCCTTGCTTAATCTTCTCATCCAGCTCACCTTATCCCAACACTTGGATGAAAAAGCAGATCTTAAGGTCCCAAAGGTGCTTTTTCAAAAGGCAACTGGATTTTGTTTTTCTTTGAAGATGTTTCACTCCCTGATCCAAGAAGCTTCTTCAGAATTGAGCTGAGCTGAACTGAACTGAACTGAACTTCTTGTATAAGAAGTCTGTCTTGGATTATTGAGTCTGCACCTCCACAGCTGTCTGGTTTGGTTCTGCAACCCAACAAGACAGACACAGACTTCAGAGGATAAACAGAACTGCAGAAAACACAATTACTGCCAACCTGCCTGCCATTGAGGACCTGTGTACTGCATGAGTCAAAAAGAGGACCATGAAAATATTTACCTACCCTCTCATCCTGGACATAAATTGTGTCAACTCCTACCCTCAAAACAATGCTATAGGACTCTGCATACCAAGACAACTAGACATAAGAACAGNATTAAACTAGACATACCCAGTTCCTGCAACCGTTCTTCATATGTTTTAGTCTCCAGTGCCCTAATCATCTTTGTTGCTCTTCTCTGCACTCTTTCTAGAGTCTCCACATCTTTTCTACGTTGTGGTGACCAAAACTGAATGCAGTATTCCAAGTGTGGCCTTAGCAAAGCATTATAAAGTGGTGTTAACACTTTACGTGATCTTGATTCTCGATAAGAGTCAGAGCTGTGAAGGATTTATACACATTCAAGCATACCTGCTTTACAGCGGTTTTCAAATAATGAAAATTACATTCCCATTCATTGCAAAGAGCACCGTCTCCCCTTGCTGAACTTCTGCTCCTCATCATTAAATGCACAATGCTACCAGCAAAAGCACACAAAAGCCCAAGCGGTAAGGATTACCATTCGGAGAGAAAATGAATGATTATCAACGGGCAAGATCTCTGCGGAAAAATAACCAGAAAGTTTTAAGCAGCTCTTGTTTCTCAGACAACACATTTCTTTTCTATACGAAGAAGTCTGGCTATGGGTTGTATTCAAATAGCCAGGACGTTTTGTAATAGCGGTCTTGAATGTTAAGAGTCCTACAATAGGTTTGATTTTCAGAATGCTGTCAGTTAGGCATAAGTGCAGCTGTGCACGAGTCATTTATTCTAGATACTATCTTCTAGAGTAAACCTTTTGGATCCCATCTTCAAGAGTCTTCCAGAATTCTCCTAAGGTCTTCTAGAATTCTATCTTCCATGGTTATCTAGAAATATATCTATCATGGCAATCTAGAATTCTACCTTCCATGGTCATCTAGAATTATGTCTTCCAATGTCTTCTAGAATTTTATCTTCAAGGTTCATCTAGAGTTCTATCTTCCAAGGACTTCTAGAATTCTATCTTCCAGGTTCATCTAGAGTTCTATCTTCCAGGGCCTTCTAGAATTCTAACTTCAGGAGTCTTCTAGAATGTTATCTTCCAGTGTCATCCAGAATGCTATCTTCCAGAGTCATCTGGAATTCTACCTTCCAGGGTCATCTAGAGTGCTATTTTTTTCAGGACCATCTAGAATGCTATCTTCTAGTGTCTTCTAGAATTCTACCTTCCAGGTTCTAGAATTCTATCTTCCAGGGTCATCTAGAATTCTATCTTCCAGGGTCACCTAGAATGCTACTTTCCAGGGTAATCTAGAATGCTATCTTCCAAGGACTTCTATAATCCTATCTTCCAGGGTCATCTAGAGTGCTATCTTCCAAGGAGTTCTAGAATTTTATCTTCAAGGTTCATCTAGAGTTCTATCTTCCAAGGACTTCTATAATTCTATCTTCCAGGGTCATCTAGAGTTCTATCTTCCAAGGACTTCTAGAATTTTATTTTCCAGGTTCATCTAGAGTTCTCTCTTCCGGGGCCTTCTAGAATTCTAACTTCAGGAGTCTTCTAGAATTTTATCTTCCAGCGTCATCTAGAATGCTGTCTTTCAGAGTCATCTGGAATTCTACCTTCCAGATTCATCTAGAGTGCTATTTTTTCAGGACCATCTAGAATTCTATCTTCTAGTATCTTCTAGAATGCTATCTTCCAGGTTCCAGAATTCTATCTTCCAGGGTCATCTAGAATTCTATCTTCCGGGGTCACCTAGAATGCTACTTTCCAGGGTAATCTAGAATGCTATCTTCCAAGGACTTCTATAATTCTATCTTCCAGGGTCATCTAGAGTTCTATCTTCCGGGGCCTTCTAGAATTCTAACTTCAGGAGTCTTCTAGCATTTTATCTTTTGGAACTGAAGTTTTATCTTCATGGGATAAAATTAGCCGGTAACCAATTGAAGTATTTCCATACACATGCTTCAAGCAGCCATCGAAAGTATGCTATGGTTGATCTTTTGATGGATCCCATTCTTGATGTTTTAGAGTTTTTGACATGCAGGGTAATTTCTTTCCCAGCTACCTGTCCATCTTATAACCTAATGAATCACATCGAAGCTTTGCCACTTCCTATTTGAATAAAACTGTCCATACACCGAGTTACAGGGTAATTTTTTAGAGGGGAAAAATATTAGCACACGCTTCCTTGCTGAATATTTTCAAACTGTCAGCACATCCCTCCTTTAAGTTCCTCTGAAATAAAAAGCTTGCTCTTCAGCGGCCTTTCATTATACAAATTGTCTTTTTAAAGCCATGCCTTATCTCGAATGTCCCACCCTTGAAATTGCCTTGTGATTTATCAGCATTCCTGCTTCCACAACAATTCAGCAAGCCCGTGAATGAAACACGGGGCGATCAAGCCCCAAAGCCATGATAAGACGCAGGATAAGGCTCTACCTTAATGAGATAAGATGAAGATTCTTAATGGGTTTTAAAATGGCTTGTGCCTTTTATGGCACTGAAAACCGCTGACTCAGGACCACTTTCACTCGCCATAATGGATCATAAAAACTTCAAAACGATGGTATATTAGCCAATTTTGCCTCTCCGCACTATACCTATAAATTTGGCTCTCTTCCCTGGGCCTCAGGTACCCATTTTTTCTGCAGTTTCTCTTTCATTATCAATCTCCAATATCGTTTTGGCAGCTAATCCCCTAGGACAATCTTCTTGATATTCTCCAGTTGCCCTGATAGTAACTGTGAGAGAGATTTTGGAGTCCTAGTGGACAACTACATACCATATTTTTCGGAGTATAAGACGGACCTTTTTCCCTCAGAAAAGAGGCTGAAAATCTGGGTGCGTCTTATACACTGAATACAGCATTTTTTACCTCACGAAACCCCGTCCCCTTCACCAAAATGGCCGTACATAGCTTTTAGGAGGCTTTCAGAGAGCTCTTGGGGGCTGGGGAGGGCAGAAATGATTAGATTAGATTAGATTAGATTTACTTTATTTGTATGCCGCCCTTTTCCCTGAGGGGACTCAGGGCGGCTCACAATTCAAGGGAGGGGAAAAACAGACAAGTTACAAACATGAAAAACCATACACCGTTAAAAAGCACAACAGTCATACCATTCGAGTGGGGTTGCAAGCCTTTAGCCCCAGGCCTGTCGGAACAGCCAGCTTTTAAGGGCTATGCGGAAGGCCTGGAGGGTGGTGAGGGTGGTGAGATGAGTTATTCAGAAACTGCTAGCTGCTATTTATTGGATCAATCCTATCCATTGCATTTTAGGAGCAAAATACTTAAGGATAAACACTTTCCCCATGACTTGTATTTCTCCTTTTAAGTCCATAATATTTAGAAATCAAATTAGAAACAGCTCATTTTCAATAAAACTACACCAATTTATTTATATATATATATACACCTTTCCTAATTGCTTTATGCTTACCTGCTAAAACCCAATGATTTTGCAACAGCTATAGCCTGTTTACTTCTCACTCCAGCAAGACAGGAAAACATTACATGATCTGATTTAGAAGGCATATCTTGATCGTATTTCTCTTTGAAATGTTCTGAGTCCATTTGTAAAGCTTTCAAAACTTCCCCCACTGTAAAAAATAAACAATCTCCATTGATTTAATTGGTCTTTTTATGATGATCCATTGGCGGGAGTGCCATTTTCATGCTAAGCATAAAATTGAGTCACTAAATAGGGATCCCATGTGCCACAATGGCATGCGCACGTGCGCGCGCACACACAC